TCTAAATATCGAGAGAACCTTCACAATATAGCTCCAAGTCTTAAGAAAACTGTATCGACATCAATTTTAAGAACTACTGAAAATAACCAAGAAGAATTGAACAGACTTTTTCGGATATCGTATTTTGTTGTTAAAGAGGATCTTGCATTTAAAAAATTTCCTTAACTGTGCAAGCTACAAAAGCTAAATGGTATTAAGTTAGGCAAAAACTACTTAAGTGACAAATCTTGCAAAGGCTTTGTATCGTCAATTTCTTCTGACTTAAAACGCAAATTAAGTTTGGAAGTTTCAAATGCTCGTTTTATTTCAATTATATCTGACGGTTCCACTGATAAGAGTATTAGTGAACAAGAAACAGTTTTTTAAAGGTTTGTTAAAAATGGTAATCCAATAACTATATTTGCTGGTATTAACTCACCACTGACAGTTGATGCTGATGGTATATTAAATGCAATAGAATATAGTATATTAAATGATGGTATACTAAATGCTGATGGTATATTAAATGCAATAGAATTTAAAAAGTTTAACAACAGACAAAATGAATCAAGATTTATATTTAAACAATATCTATGCAAAAACTGTAAATGTTAACTTTGATGGTGCATCTGTAATGTCTGGCAATAAAGCTGGTGTTCAAACTAAAATGCGAAATAAAAACCCAAGTATAGTATATACCTACTGTGTGGCGCATAGATTAGAACTTTCTGTGTTAAACTCAATAAAGTTTGATATTTATTTAAAGAAGTTTTATGACAACATCAATAGTTTGTTTTGTTTTTACTGCTATTCATCGCAGCGAAGAAAGGAACTGAAAGAAATAACTTCTTTTTTAGATAAGGAGTTTAAACAGCTTGGGAGATTGAAAAATATTCGTTGGTTAGCTAGCCAGGAAAGAGCGTTAAGGTTGGTTGAAACTGACTATAAAGTTATTATTTATGATTTAGAAAGCAAGGCAAGCGAAAAAGACAAAACTGCACAGAAAGCTAAAGGATTTTTGTGTTTTGTGAAAGACCCACAATTTTTATTTTATTTACATTTTATTCAAGATATTTTTAAATCACTAACAACATTATCATTGGAATTTCAAAATAAAAGAAATTTTAATTTGTGAGATTTTGCATAAAGTTGATGCAAGAATCGCTGTACTAGACGCGTTATCAGTTAATCCAGGCTCAATATTGGACGTTTACTAGAAGTTTACTAGAAGTAAAAGAAGATCAGTTAATCTTTAAAGGTATTGATTTAACAGCATTAAAAAAGCGTAATTTAAAGAGAATTGATGAGTTAGTTAGACAACAACCAAATGATTATTTTGATTATTATAATAAAAAATATTTTATTAAAATTATTGACGGAGCAAAAGAATATATAGACAAGCGATTCCGCCACGATTTCAATCAAGAACCATAAAAATCTTTAACCACAATCTTTGATTGTCGAAACTGGCCAAAATCCTTTACTGGTTCGCTAGAGATAAAAAAATGGGGATTTAATGAAATAAAAAGTGTTTGCAACTTTTATGAGAACAATAATATGATAAGCAGAGAAACTTCTAACTTATGTGTATTGCAGTGGCCTTTATTCAGGGAGAAAGTCTCTAAACTAAGGACAAATTCACTTTAAGCATTTATAAAGATATCTTGCTGGAAAATGAACCTGAATTGGCAAGTATAAATGTCTTGTTAGAGATTATGCTAACTTTCAGCGTTTCAACGGCAAATTGCGAACGCAGTTTTTCTTGTATGAACTTACAAAAAAGTATTTTGCAAACTTCATTAAATGACGACACCTTAGAAGATATTATGCGTATAAAGCTTGATGGCCAGTTAATTGAAGACTTTTTTCCCCAAAAACATGTCAAAAATTGGATTGACGCAGCGGTTGGTATTAGACAATTGGAAGGCCATAAATTAAAAAGTTCTAGCAATTTTTAAATCAATTTATATGAATATAAAAATTAATATATAAATATTAATGAGACGCCGTTGTGCGATTTATTTTTTTAGTTCCTTTTATTTTAATTTCTTCACGTTTATACGTTTATTTTATGAGTAAATAAATTTAACAAACTAAATTTAAAAAAAAAAAGTTTTGCATCGTTAAATAACAGCTTACAATCTTTGCATATTAAAAATCATTAATTTCTGCGCACTTTTATTTTATGAGTAAATAAATTTAACAAACTAAATTAAAAAAAAAAAAGTTTTGCATCGTTAAATAACAGCTTACAATTTTTGCATATTAAAAATCATTAATTTCTGCGCACTTTCAAAATTGTTTCGAAAATATGACATTTGAATATAAAACTCCCTTATTTGACACGTATCACTTAAATTAAATGGTTAAACATGTAAATATATTTAAAAAAAATTAAATAATAAATTTATTTAATTTTTTTTAAAACACAATGAATTTGATTAAAATTTACATAATAAAATTATAACAGAATTTATTCAATGATAAAATTTATATTATTAAAATTTCAAATGAAAACATGGACATGTTTAATAAAATAAAAAAGTTCAAGTATATTAAATAAAATCTAGAAACATTTCTTAAAAAATACCTTCTTAAAAGACTGTTTCTATTTAATGTTTAAGTTATTTTAAAACATCAGTTATTTAAAAAATTCACTTAAAATGTTAAAAAGTTGTGTAAAGTTATTAGAGACGTGTGGAAATGGTTTAAAATTATTTAATGTATTCAGGCTTGGTCGGGAAGCGGGTGCGATCACACTCGATAATTGACCACAGAAATATTTTTTTGCGAAAAACCGGCCAGATTTTTTAGTCGTTTTGAGAACATTTCAAAAACAAACAAAAAAGTGCATTAAGATTAACTGGACCGATGAGAGACAGTTAAAATAGCTTTTAACGCAAAAAAACTTAAAAACTTTCGCGTTAATATATATATATTTATATATATATATATATATATATATATATATATATATATATATATATATATATATATATATATATATATATATATATATATATATATAAAAGAGTTTTTGCTATGTTTTGCTTGTAAAAAAAATTTTTAAATATATAATTTTTTTTTTTTTTTCAATTGATGTTTTGCTAATTGTAAATAAATATACATACTTATATAAGTAAATACACTTTTGTTTTGCATTTTACTTGTTTGAAAAAAGCATCTCTTGATTTTAAGTCTTGATCTCTTTTCACCAGCCAATTAAATGTGAAATGGAGGGAGGATTGCAATTTTATTTTATGTTATTTATGTGTTTATGTAATCAATTAGAAAGCTTAAAGTATGCAATAAAGAGCAAAAAAACTAATGTTTCTTTTAACCCTCATTTATTATAAGTAATTTACAATAAGAAGTTTTTAAATGTAGAACATGATTTGTCAATCCAAAGCCAATATTAAATAAATTATTTTTCTACCCTTTACTAAAAATTATTGAAGTAAAGAGATCATATTAAAAACAATTTAAGAAATGGTGTGGAATAGACTTACCATGACCTGTATCATACGGGTCCTGACAGCTACTAATAAAATAATACTGGATTTTAAAAAATTTTTGAATAAAAAATATTTTTAAGGGTTGCCCAAGACCCTTAAACATTTTAAAGGTCTTAAATATTATCAAAAAAAACTCTTTAAAAGTATGTTATGTTGGGTCTCAAAAGAAGTCAGAAAAATAAATTATAAAAAAAATTTCAAAAACAATTATGTTTTATAAAACTATATCAAAATAAAATTTTTTTTAAAGAAATTGTAAAAAAAATCACTTTATAATAAAAAAACAGTTTTTATTTAATAAAATCTAAAACATTAATTTGTATACAATATAATAATTATTTTAAAACTTTTAATCTAATTTTGCCTCTTTCAATACCCAACATGATATACTTTTGAAGAAATATTTTTTTGAAAATATTAGTACCTGTCTGACTCCTAAAATAGGATTTTGTTCAAAAGTTTTTAAAAATCATATTTTATTATATAGTACGCATTTAGGGAAACAGACATTTTCAAAAATAGTTGACTTTATGGCCACCCTGATATATATATATATATATATATATATATATATATATATATATATATATATATATATATATATATATATATATATATATATATATATATATATATATATATATATATATATATATATATATATATATATATATATATATATATATATATATATATATATATATATATATATATATATATATATATATATATATATATATATATATATATATATATATATAGCCCTCAGAATTAGAGAAAATGAGTTCAGCAAAATATTGTTGACCTTAAATGCAGAGTGTTTCAGAAATTTTAACAGAATGAATTATTAAATTATTACAGAATTTAAATTATCTTATTAGGTATTTAAATTTTTTTTTGAAGTATTTACTTTAGAATTTAATTTAAAATGTTCAATTTTTTTGCTTTAGTTTTAACTATTTTATTTAGAATTGAAATAAAACGTTCATTTTGCTGTTGTGTTTTTAAATTAATTTGTTCACAATTTAAATAAAATGTTTTTTTTATTTTTTTTATTTTAACAATTTTATTTAGATTTTAAATAATATGTTTGTATTGCCGTTTATTTATTTTTAATAGTTTTATTCAGGTTTGAAATAAAATGTTTGTTTTTTCATTTATATTTTAATTACTTTATTTAGAATTTTAATAGGTTCGCTTTGCTGTTTATTTTTTTTGTTTTTACTAAATTATTTTATTTAGAAGTTAAATAAATTGTTCAACTTGACATTTTTATTTTTATTTTATTTAGAATTTAAACAAAGTGTTCGTTTTAAAATTTTAAAATTCTAAGTTTGGCAAAAAATTGCAGACCTCAAATACTGTCAGGTCGGCAATTAGGTCAGCATTGCTGAATGCAGACCCTAATTCTGAGGGCTGTATATATTCTAAACAAGTTATATTTATTTAAAAAAAATTAATTAAAAGTTTTGTGATGGAATACAGAACATTAAAAAAAAAAAGTACCTAAAACCTTGAAACAGTAATTTTCCACACGCATCACAAAATGTTAGTGTAAAAAATGTTTTCCTGACCTAAAATTAAAAAGTCTTAATATTTTTTACCACAAGAGTCTAAATGTAAATTTATCAAAATTTTTAAAATAAAAATTTATGACATGAAAGCATACAGTTAAAAGACTTGTTATGAGTATGAAATGATGTGATGCATAAGTGTTATGGTAATTGAAAAGTGTTTTGCATAAGTGTAATGGTATATAAAAGTCATAAAAATTTCTAAAAATATGTTTTGTATTTATGAACATTTAGCTTTTAAAAACTACTGCAATTTACTAAGTTACTACTAAACTTGTTTAATTTAAAGATTAACTCAAAATAACGTTTGTATTTTGAAGTTTAGAGTTAAAAGAGAGTTTCAAATAAAATTAAAAAAACAAAAACAAAAAAACAAAAACAACAATAACAAAAAAACAAGTGGCCTCCTAGTGCCTCCCTCTGGTCCCTTGTTAAATTAAAAAAAAAAAAAATGTAAAAGGGTATTTAAACAGTTGATAGATTCATATATTGATAGAGACATTTGGCCTTCTCAGCTTTGAGGTGAATAACAAAAAAAAAAAAAAAAAAAAATTTTTTTACATTTTGTGCACATTTTTGATGCAGTGTTAAAACATGTTAACAGAGAATTTTATTTCTAGCTAAATCAAATGAAAAGCTGGAATAAAAGTCTTCCAGGTTTAAACAAGCAAAAATGGCAAAAACTAGATTATTATCATACCTAAACAAAAATGTCGCATAAAACACACATAAGTCTAAATAAATATTCATAATAAATAATATTATGATTAATATAGTATTGTCATTCAAACTTTTGTAACAATGGAGTGAGGTTTTTAAAATGATAGTTTTTTTTTAAACTGGTTAAAAGACATCTTTAGATGTGAACAAACATTAAAGAAAAAAAAGTTTTTAGCATAACCAAAATAGATCTGTAGTAATTGACAAGATTTGGTTAGGGCAGATAGTAGTTATGAATTAAATAATCCTAATACAGTTTTTTTAGTAACTGACAAAACTTGGTTAGGGAAGGTAACTGACAAGACTTGGTTAGGGAAGGTAACTGACAAGACTTGGTTAGGGAAGGCAACTGACAAGACTTGGTTAAGAAAAGTAACTGACAAGACTTGGTTAGGGAATGTAGTAGTTATCAATAAAATAAACCTAATACAGCATAAATGTTTGTTTATAACTTCCCCTTTTTAATTTTTAATTGTTTGGATTTCGATTGTCATATATCGATGTTGTGTCAAGTGCTATAAGACTCTCATATGTCTAATTTTTATTGCACTAAAATGATACATGTTAATGTTTTAAAAATGATATTTAGTTAAAACCTTAAAAAAAAAAGAAGTGATTATATTCTGCAGGGTAACCACTAAAGTTTTTAAAGAAATTTTGGAGAAATGCAGAAAAAAGAGAAATGCAGAAATTTTGGAGAAATGCAGGTGAAACAGGTTTTATTTTCCAACAAACAGACTAGTACACAATAAGTGCAATAATTATTACAATAATTGTGTAATACAGTGTAAAAACATGTCTATTTCTGAAAAAAATTTTAAGATAAAATAAATTTAGATTGCAGTATGTTCTTATTCAGAAAACAATTTCAATGTTATTTGAGAAAATATTATTTATCTTTCTTCAGTCAAATATGGTTTAACATAATTTACATCCTATCTTGCAAAACAGTTTAAAGCTTAAAAATAATTTGCTCTGATTCATATTCTATTTATTCACAACTATATGAAGTAACAAGTGATAAATGAAATGTGTTTATTTAATTTAATATATATATATATATATATATATATATATATATATATATATATATATATATATATATATATATATATATATATATATATACATGCATACATGTTTTTAATATATGTTTAAGATCTAATTGTAAATCTAATTGTATAAGAAGTACACACTCTATTTGGAGATGCAACATTTTTTAAACAACATATCTAGTGAAGATATTTTTAAAGCAAGCTATAAAAACAAATTGTCAAATGAATTCAAAATAAATATCAAACTTAAGCAGTTAATGTTAAAAACATATATATCAGCTACATGGCATTGCTAGAAACAGCAGCATAATCAAAAGTTTATGAACTATATAGCATACAAACTAACTTTGTTTTCCAATTATAAATTCCAAGGATAAAACAACAAGAATTTTGCAAAGAAGCAAAGAACACTAAACTAATAGCAATTGGCATACTTCTGGAGCGACTGGACATTGCAAATAATGCCATATTCAATGGACTGCACCCAAAAACGTTACCTGTAAATAACAAATATCTTGAAAGGAAAATAAGGGAATTGCTTGAAATTAATTATGCACAAACATCTCAGGAGGTTAAACAATTCCTGGTACTACTGAACAGGGATAACAGGGTAAAAGTTGCTTCAAATAGTTGGAGTCCACTATTTAAGAAAACCATCAAAAAACAAAACAACTTTAATTGACATCGCCTTTATAATGACTTCTTTATAATATTAATGTTTTATTTGAATTTAATGTAATGAATTTTAAATTGGTATGATGTCAATATGTCTGATGACGGTCTATACAAATTAGACTGAAATATTACATTAAAAAAAAAATTAGTACGTTCCTGTTTTTTATGTTTTATAACTTATTATAACTTTATGCACAACAAGAATGCTGCTAAAAGACTTAATTGCTACTTCTTACAGCAAGGAGATTTATGATACAACAAAAAAACTACAAAAGCAGAAAATCAAAAATGCAATTTCAAAACACCAGTTTATATTTTTACAGAGATGCAGTTCTAATAATACAATTCCATCATCTTTAAAAGTGTGATCTCCAATTAAATCAAAAAAAAAGCTGAAAATATTACTCTGGAATATCAAAGAAAGTTATTAATAAGTGCATAAAACAAAGCAAAATATAGTTTTTTTGCAGGTTAGGAGTTTATTAAAAACATTAGCCTAGATTTAAGAAGTTTATTAACACCTAATTATTGAAAATGTAACTGAAAAATCAAAAAACCATCATTTTGAAATTAAAAAGAATCAAAAAAAAATATTATTTATTTATACGATAAACTTTATCAAAAAAGAAATAACGCCTATAAAAATAATTAAACCAGAAGTTTTAAACCTCACTCAAGTTCAAATAGATGTTCCCACGAATGAAATTTTAAATTTAGGTCCTAATTTTACACCTTCTTATAAAAAATTACCATTTTTAAAGATATTACCACCTATTGAGTCATTTGCCTCAAATTTAGAGAAACAAAAAAAAAGCTGATATAGAGAACGTAAGATAAAATGTTAGCAAAATTTTGACAAAATCACTAAAACATAAATTCAATAATGATTAAAAAAATAATGAATAAAGTTAAATAATTTTAAAAAAATGTGTTAAATATTTATCTATTCGATAAAGGTTCTAGATTTGTTGTTATGTGTTCAATGCTTTTAAGAAACTTGATAAAGAATTTAATAATTCAATAAAACTATGATCCTACCCAGAAACTTACAATAAAGTTTCAGAAATTGTTTTGCAAATTAGGAAAAGAAAACAAAGCTGATAAAAAACGTATTTCCAGTTATATTTATCTGATTGAATTACCCATTGACTTTACTGTGTTATAAATACTTACATGCTGGAAAAAAATTCTCCAATTTTTTCCCGAAAAATTCTCCAAGAATATCTTGTCAAAATTATTTAGCCTACCCTAAACATAACAAAACACGCTTGTTGAATTCTACATCATTTGTCAACCAAGTGAAATCCTGGTAATTCAAGGCTCCAATACTCAGTACACATCGGAGATAGAAAATGAACTAAATTTTTTCAGATATAGAAATAACTAACACAAATAATTACTAATATAATTTTATAAGTCCACCATAAAAAGCAATAATAAACATGCAAATAAAACCTAACTGAAATATCAACACTGCAATTATTACTGGAGTTTTTAAATGTTTCATGTCAAAAGCCACCAAAATTTGCTCCAAAAAATACATTAACAACAAAATTCAATTTATAATACATATGTTTGTTGAAAATGGTCATCTCTTTTATGTGATATTTCGGCATATATAAATTAGACCAAAATATCACATAAAAGAGAAAAAATTATTAAGCTGCTATTTTTGATGTTTTATAACTTATTGTTAAAATGTATAAAATATAGTATACTTTATTAAAGATTTAAGATAATACTTGATTGTGATATTATAGAACTGAAACAATATTATAGATTCTAAAAACGCCTACACATTTAGTCAGGAAGAGATATTTAGAACAAGTGGACTAGATATGCTTTCTTACTAAAAATGTTTGCTTTTGTAACTTTTTTTTTTTTGGTTCCTAAACTATTTTAAGAAAACAGATTGTGTAAAAGAGCACTACAGAATGATATTTAATAAGGAAGTTACCTGCTGCTTTCATCACTTTCAAAATAGCACTACAGAATGATATTTAATAAGGAAGTTACCTGCTGCTTTCATCACTTTTATAGTTAGAACAAGCATCAAACTATTAAACTTTTAATAGACATTTTAACTACAGTACAATCTGTGCTAATTATGCTAAATATGTATTCAATTTAAAAAATAATTCTCAGTTGTTTCGATATATTTATAAAAATTACAAACGTACGCGTGAATGTTTTCAAACTTGACCGTTTTAATAGAGATGTGCAAGCACTGACTTAAGGGACTGGAATTGGATTTATCATGATTAACAATCAAAAGTATCCATAATTATTATTTAACTACTTCTCTGAAAATTATTTTAAAAATTATTCTTTGCTATACATATTTGTATTTATACCATATTTATTTTTAAAAACAAATCAGTTTAAAAATGGTGAGAAAATAGAACTATCTGTGAATACGCAGAGTTTGAGATGAAATGGGTGCAATCAGGCCGCACTTGTCAAGCACACCTGCAAATGGTATTTTCGAACCTTCTAGGTGCGATAAACAACATTCGTTTAACTTATAACAAGTATATAAAAACACACTTGTCTAAAAGTTTGGGATGGAACAATATATTGTTTTTTCATTTTTTTTATAAAATATTTTTAACAAAAACATTTTGTTACAGACATTATCAAAGCGTTGATACAAAATATAAATAGCACTATGTCACTCGCTTTCTGCAAGTTTGATTTTGAACAATGTTACTGCATTCTTTTTTTCTACAGAATTCTTGTTTTAATGAGGCAGTTGAAACTAATGTTTTTAACTAACTACACTTACCTTGCATTAATTAAAGATTGTTTCTTTATTATAAATACTTTTTATTATTCATTCATCTGTAACATTAGAAAAGTTAAAAACAATTAAAATTAACTTTAGTTATAAAAGTGCGACCGTTTTTTCTTTTAAAGACACTAAATCAAATCGATGTTTATTAAATATATTATAGAAAGAGTTTTGAATGATTTAAATTGATCATAAAAAATATGTACTTTTACAAATAATAAATAAAAACCAAAACAATTGTTGTTCTCTTTTGCTATGATTCAATTAAGATAGGTACAGAGTGCGCTGTTGTAGATACTGACAAAAAAAAAAGATGTATAACAAATAAAAAGCTTCTTATGAGCATGGTCTTTAGCAATTATCAAATTTCACAATCGCTCTAGCTGACTTTATCTTGAGCGCACATAATCACACTTTATGACAACATATCATAAATTTACAAGCGTGATATAACACGCTTGGTGATTTTTTTATCACAAGCCCTGAATACAGCATTAAAGTTAAGCATCCAAAGTATTAAAAACTGCATTTACTAATATAATAATCAATATCAATTACATTTATAATATTCAAAAACATATTTTGAAGATTTAAAAACAATTAACATAAATGAAACCTACAAAGTTATGGCATATGCTTCTGATATTTTCTTCTTTATTAAAAGCCTCCACTAATACCTAAAGAAAAAGCCAAACAAATATATATACATATATATATATATATACATATATATATATATATACATATATATATATATATATATATATATATATATATATATATATATATATATATATATATATATATATATATATATATATATATATATATATATATATATATATATATATATATATATATATATATATATATATATATATATATATATATATATATATATATATATATATATATATATATATATATATATATATTTCTTTATATACTTTAAAAATAAAACATTTTTTGATAATTTAAAAAACTTGCAGGCAAAGCATTTATTTTTTAAAAATACAAGTTATTTAACTATATTTGATTAATAATTTATATAAAATCAAATCAGTATTTTAGTATATTGTAGGATATCCTTTACAATCAAGAATGGCTTGGCATCTACTAAGCATCTACGAGTTAACTAAATTAAATTAATTAGATAAACATCAATAAAACATCAATTGTATCCATAATTTCATTGATTTTATAAAAATAATTCATTATGATTTGTAGGTTTGATGCATATCATTTGATGATCAACATGTTCTCATACATATTCAATGGCATTAAAGTCAGGTGATTAGGATGGTCATTTTAAAAAACAAACTTTACTTTTTTCGAAAAATTTTTGAACCAATTCGGCTATATATTTGAAAGCGTTATTTAGTTCATATACCCATCCTCAAGGTATTTTATCCTTTGCCTCAGTAATTCCAATTTCCTCCATTGTACCAGTAATTCTATAGAACAGACCAACACCATCCCGACTAAAACATTTTTTTCAGTCAAAAAGTGTTGTTATTTACACAGATCATCCAGGTCATATTTTAAAAATCCGGAAAATTGTTTGGGTAAAATATCTGGAAAATATTTTCTCTTAATTTTGCTTTTAGCTGAGTTGTTTCTGATTTTTTTTTGATGAGTGATGAATGAAAAAGCTTAAAAAACAAATATGCCACAAAAATTATACATTAACTTGTATGCATAGAAAATATTTTGGATATCCGGAAAAGCTAAAAGTTGAAAAGATATCTGGAATTCCGGAAATATCCAGAAATAGATAATCCTGTATTTAGCTAAAAATCATTTCATAGAATCGTCTCATTTGTACATTTATATGGACAGCTATCAGGGGATTTTCTTTGTTTAGTATCATGATCTTTTCATCCTGATGTGTAGTTTTGTGATTTCTTCCTGTTTGCTTTTGATGCTTTTAGATCAAGTAAGTTCATATCTCTTCGTTATTTATCCAATACCAGACTTACCAACTCCATATAGCTGTCTTACAAAACAAAATTCCATTTTCAACTGATCTCACAATAATTTTTTCACTGAAGATGAGATAAATTTTTAGATACCATGATCTTAATCACTTATAAATAAAGCTTTTTATGTATTTCAACCATTTCTTCACAATATCATCTAATTAGCAATTTTCTGGGAAAATATAAAAAGCTTTAGTTTGTTTGCAAATTTTTAAACTCATCAAAAAATTTTATTTTTTCAAATCAATTTAAAAATTATCAATATTTGTTTAAAACATAATAGTAAAAAAGGAAAACCTTTTAAATGGTTGGATTTAATTTGTTGGTCACAAAGATAAATATTTTGAGTTTATTCCATATCCAAGGTTTATATTCGGAAACCTATCATCTATTTAAATATTAGACCAATTAATAGTCCTAATAATAGATAGAGAAAATATCAGTTTTTGTTAATATGCACCAAAAGTAGTCCAGTTTTTTTGTCAATTTCTAAAAAACAATTTACTCCTACTCAGCCCTTTTTAAAAATTCACTCCTCATGTCCCAAAAAACAACATTTTTAAAAAATATATGCTGGCACCCTCTTAATGTGTTCTATATGATTAAAAAAAAAACACTAATTTACAAAAAATTTTGAATCAAAAATATTTTTAGGGGTCCCCAATACCCTTAAAAAAAATTTTTTTTCCAATAAGTTTTTTTATATAATTATAATTTATGAAATTTTCAATTGATTTTGCTTCATTTGAGACACAAACAGATCTAGACTGTTGGGATAACGACTAGTTAAAAAAAATTGAATTTTATCTGAGTTAAAGTTAATGAGAGACTGAGAGCCCCATGCTGTAGCAGAAGTGAGACGTTTTTTAAACTCAAATATCTCCTCTATGCAATCAGAGAATATTGGCTTCTTATCAAGACAAAAATAAATAGTAGTATCATCAGCAAACAATGCCACCTGTGAGAATTTCTGGGATACATTACTGTAAATTAAAAAGAGTATAGGGCCAAAGACCTTGAGAAACCCCTGAAGTTACAGGAAATGAAAAAGAGTGCTGTTCATCTAGGACAACTTTTATATTACGATTGATAAGGAAGGATTCAATAACTTTAAAGATGTTATTTGATACACCATAAGAGAGCTTATGGAGAAGACCAGCATGTCAAACTTTATTAAAAGTTTTAGAAATGTAGAGAGCGATAGCCTTAGCCTCTCCACATCAATCTAATGCATAATAAAACCTATCAGTTATTACCGTTAACAAATCAGCAGTAGAACAAGAAGATTGAATTCCATATTGATGATTAGAAAGTAAGTTATTAGATTCACAATGAGAGATTGTTTGTTAATTAAAGACTCAAAAATTTTGCTTGTGATAAGAAGAAGACTATTGGGACGGTAGTTAGATAAGTTAGATTACTCTTTAGAATTTTTGAAAGTAAGTATAACAAATGCTGCTTTCCTGCAGGTTGGAAAACAAAACTCTGATAATTAGATTACTACATATATATATATATATATATATATATATATATATATATATATATATATATATATATATATATATATATATAAATATATATATATATATATATATATATATATATTTATATTTATATTTATATATATATATATATATATATATATTTATATACATGTGTTTTAGTTTCAGTTAAACTTTTTTATTCTCTGTTTCATTAAGATTTCTTTTCTTTTTTAAAATAACTTTTTTTTAGTTAGGCCAAGGTAAGCTCTTTCAGGGAAATTTTAAATTTTGAAAATGTTAAAAGCTGTGGTCAGATCATTAAAACAAAATTTGTGTAGTCATATATGCGGTGTGTGATCATACGCCTTATACATACACATATATATATATATATATATATATATATATATATATATATATATATATATATATATATATATATATATATATATATATATATATATATATATATACATGCATATATATATATATATATATATATATATATATATATATATATATATATATATATATATATATGCTACAGCGTATACACAAATTTTGCTTACATTTCATACAGCTTTTTCAGAAAAAGAAAAAAAAACAAAAGATAATAATGAAAAAACAAGATGGCTGCCTCAACCCTAACCCTTAGTCAAGGTAGCAGCACTCTTAGCATGTGATCCCTATTTAATCAGACAATGTATCTACTGAAGTCCCTGGCAGCTGGCTATTTCAGTATGATGTCAGGCTGCTCTTCTAAACATGCAATAAAACAAAATATATTAGACATTAAACAAAGCTTTATGTAAAAAAATCTGGTTAATTTTTAACCAAAATTACTAGTAGAACTATAAAATCAAACTTGTAAAATCCAAAATTATAACTTCACCTCAGCTCTATCTAAAGAAGAAACATCAGCATCCCAATCAACATGTTGTCTAAAAACAAAAACTCAAAACATGAAAAAGATATTTTAATATATTATGAGAATTTTTTTTTCTAAATATAAAATTTTATAAGTAACAAATTTTAAGTATTTTGTATATCACAACTTCGTGAGTTAATCACAGTAATAACTTTTATGTAATAGTACAGTTTGAAACTTTTAATTTTAAAAAAGTATTAAAAACTTGAATAATCAAAAACTTTTCATACAAAATATAGTGTTTTTATTAAAGCAGATTAAAAAGTCATTTCAGTCATTTCAAGTTACAAGAAAATTGTGAAAACCGTCAAAAAAGTTTTTATATTAAATTTAATACTATTTGGCATATTTTGATTTACATTTATAAAATAAAGATGAAAACAAATATAAAAGAAGACAATATATGTAAATAATCTTAAACTATTTAAAAACCTATTTAAAAGTAATGTATGCAATTAAAATAGATCAAAGTATCATTTCATTTATTCAAAGTTTAACTGCAAACAATTGACTTTTATTCTTATTTTTTCTCTAATATATCACACTAAGAATAGATGCAAAACAAAAATATGGAAAAGCTCAAGACAATGGTTTAGAATGAAACAAGTTGAATAATTAAACATTAAAATATAAAAAAATCTTTTATTTCTTTAAATAATATAACACGCCAAAATAAAAATCATTTTAAAGATATTTGTGTCTAAAAAATGTTAATTTTTTTATATTTTATTATTCTGATTCACTCGATTGTAATTGTAGTCGAGTTGGGAGTTACTAGAAGAAAAAAAAGAATAGAGTTATGGAGCAAGGAAACAGTTGACAGAAGACTTGAAAAACTGTAGGTTGTATGAGTCAGGAAAACATGAAGATGGGAGAGAACTCCAAAGGGTTGAAAAAAAACTAGACAATTAATGTTTTTAGAGCATGCAGGAACAGATACAGTTAAAGAATAAGACTTTGCTGAATATCCAGTTAAACAAGAATGAGTTTTAGTTAATGGAACTAGAGATGATAGCTCTTTTGAGCAGCAACCATGATAATATTAGTACAAAAGTGAAAAAGACGCAAATTTAGGACAATGGGATGATGTCTCATGCTTGGCAGATAGAGCTGATATAACTACGTTTACAACGCGTTTTTTGAAATTATCTAGAAGTGAAAGAGCATCATTAGAAGAACCACCCCAAATATGACAAGAGTATTCCATACAGGGACAATTAAGAGATTTGTAGAGGTAGAGAATGGATTCAGGAGTAAGAAAATGGCAAGCAAGATAAAGAGTAGCAGCTAGGATTTCCAAAAAACCGCATTTATAGAAAACCGCGTTTTCGGTTTTAATTTTAAAAAAAAATGTGATTAACAGTGGTTATCGGTTTTTCTTGTTAAATAAAACTTATGTAAGTTCATCTTGCATTATTTATTAAAAAAGTTATTTAAAAAAAGCGTTCTAATATTGTTTTTATATTTCGAAAATAAAACTTACATTGACTTATTTTTATTGTAAAAATAAGTCATTGCAATTAATTTTCCAATTGAAGGGCTATTGATAGTAATTTTATGACGCAAAATATGATTATGTAAAATAGTTGTGGTTCTACCAGAGCTTGTAAAACAGAACCGCATCTATTACAGAAGGCTTTAACATCTCTTGAATTTGGAATTTTATGTTAGGCAATAAATTTCCAAGATGATGACATGATTTATCTGGAAGATATATTTTCAAAACATATTTTCATCAAATATATTTTCAAAAAATTAAATAATTCATAAAACTATTATCGTGAACTATTTTTATTAAATACCTATACATTATTATTCTGTTGAAATTGGATTAAATACCTATACATTATTATTATACTTTGAAATTGGATTATAAAATGATAAACAAAGTTTATAATTTTATAATCCAATTTCAAAGTTTTAGGGTTGAGAGAAGATTACTAACAACAAAAAATAAATAAAAAAAGTAGCCTTCTCAACTGTAGAGCCCTTTTGTATATAGGCAGGTAAATAAAACTATAACTAAAACATTTCATTTCAAGTTTAAAACTTGAAATGTTTTAGTTATAGTTTTATTTACCTGCCTATATACAAAAGGGCTCTACAGTTGAGAAGGCTACTTTTTTTATTTATTTTTTGTTGTTAGTAATCTTCTCTCAACCCTAAAACTTTGAAATTGGATTATAAAATTATAAACTTTGTTTATCATTTTATAATCCAACTTTCTTAATTATATCTATTTACAAAAAAAGAATTGAAATTAAAATTTAAAATTCAATTTAAATTTTAATTCAAATTTAAAAATTTTTTCTAACTATTTGATATATATATATATATATATATATATATATATATATATATATATATATATATATATATATATATATATATATATATATATATATATATTGCAATTTTAATTTTAAATTATTTACTTATGAACTGAATTATTTTCAGTTAGATTTGAATGAAAACTTTTAAAGATTAAGTATAGGTCTTTTCTTATTACTTTTCTTATTACTTAATTTATATCAAAAATTGGACTATAGTGTTAAAGAGTTTTCTCTTAAAATTCTGTTAACTTCATCATTTAATGCAAATATTGTTAAATAGAGGTTTAAGTTACTTAGTTGGTTGTGATAACTTAGGTCTAAGTTATCAGTGGTTCTATGCCTTAAAACAGGTGTAATGATAAAGTAACTCCTTTATATAATCCTCATTCTATATATTTTTTCCTGAGTATACAATACTTTTTTAACTTTGATATTTGTTTGATAAAGGGTCTACGTATATCTACAATTTGTTATATTTAATTGAAAGAAATTATTAGGCCTTTGCCTTCTTTCAAGATACTACCATATATCTGATTTTATTTAAAAAAATAATTATTCAGAATAATTAAAACTGAATATTAAGCAAATGTTTATCATGCTTTATTTCTTTATTATGTTCCACCTATAATTTTATGCTTATATTATAGTCCATTTTAGATATTGTAATATATTAATAGGTATATATATTATGACAAGTTATGATATATATATATATATATATATATATATATATATATATATATATATATATATATATATATATATATATATTCTTATTTTAAAAACTATTTTGTAAAAGAAATAAAATATAAAAATTTCAAAAATTTACTATAAGACATATTTTGTTAACATTATTGAAAATAATTGATATTGAAAAAAATCCATTGTAAAAGGAATTAAATATTACTTTTATTATTGTAAAAAATAACTTTTATAAACAAAAATTTAAACAACCTGTTTGATTTTCGATAAACCACATAAGATTCTGTGTTCAATCCTCTTAAAGTCATAGCTTTTAAAAGAGCTTCATGTACAGTTTGTCCTGGTTTATATTTAATCTTCAAAACAACAAAAAGAAGATTAAATATATTCACTAAACTAATTTTTTTTTTTTACTAATAATAAATTATTACCTTATACTTAGTTAAATTACACTTACCATAGTTCGTTGATTGTTAGGCAGGTATGCACGAAAATGAGCGTGGAGTGGTGAAGATGGTGCAACATTTCCGTTTGAAACGACTTTTTCTGATTCATGGGATACTGCATTACTTTGGCTGGGAGATGGAGAAGATATAGGGCTACTTTCATCTGAGGATTCATGTGTAATTGTGTGTTTGAAACCATTTTGAAGTAACTCTGGTTTTTGATGTAACAGTGTATTTTCTCGTTTTCGTAAAGCATCAAGTTTACCTTTAAGTTCTTCAACTTCCTGTGTGGGTGGAGGAGAAGAAAGTTTGAAAAAAAATGTTTCAATCATAGCAACATTCAATAACAAAAGAATGGTTTAAGAATGCTAGAATTTTGCAATGTTGTCTAAATGATTGAATTAATTCCAATGTTTTGCATTTAAAAATTGTTTTTTCCTGATGCATTCCTTTTTTGTTTAACTACTAAAACAGCAACAACCAATCAATTTTTTTTTTAATTGTAAAAAAAAAAAAGTGTACAACACAAAAATAAAAACTTGAAAAAAAAATTATTCTGGAATCTCAAGACTTGATCTGCTTACCAAAATATTACCAAATTGAAATTTATTAAGCACATGTCTTGCTTTACATAAAATAAAAAACAGTATTTAAACAAAAGAAAATAAAAGCTGCTCAAACAAGATATTCAAATATTACACATATTCTATAAATAAACAAAAAGATCTAGATAACTTTAATTTTTTTTCAATTTTGCAGTAAATAGTTTAAAAATAGTTTTTTTTTAAAATTTTGTACTGAATAAGAAAATTCATCAGTACAACAACACTAAGAAAGTTATAAGAGGTTTCATGGAGGTTAAAACTTTTCTATGCAAACATAAGTTCAATACTTCTTTGAATTCAAACATTTTTCAGTTTGCTAAGAAAAATATTTTCTTAATAGATTTTTCATTAATAGAAAAGTAAACAAATTAAAATGATAATTACACAGTGTTGTGTATGTTATTGATAATTTATCATCATACAAAATCTATGAATTCTTAAATATTAAAAATCTTGTAATTAGAAAATCTAGTATAAAAAAAATCTGAAAAAAAAAAGTGTGTATAGTTTTATAAACATAGTTAAATGAATAAATTGTCTGAAAAACAAAAAAAATTGTCTAAAAAAGCAAAGACCAATTAATGCTAAAAAAACTAAATGTTCTGCATATTATTCCAGTTTTTATTTTTATTTTTTTTATTTTTTATTTCCCAACAACAATATGAAAGTTATCAATGAAGGATTATCATAAAAAAGTTTCCTAGCTTTATTCAAAACGTTATAAACTGTTTAATTATTCACAATTTTGTTAAAAAGAAGTAAAATAACACAATGATTCAAATTTGTCTGCAAACTATGTTTTAGACAAAGCTAAGAAAAAATAATTGCTTTAAAGAAACCTTTTCATCTCTCTAAGGAGATTTTATTGTTTAAGAAAAATATTTGAATTTGCAGAAAAGTATTTATATGAAAAAAATGCATTATTCATCAATAATAAAAAAAAAAAAAAAAAAAAAACAGTCCAGTACTTTTTTATTGAAAAAAATATGCATAGATTGAAATGTTATTTTTTTGATGACAAAGTTTGAATTACCCACAAAAAACAAAATTTAAAAATATATAATATACAACATTATTTATCATAGAGCATATTTTATTATGCTGCATTAACACATTATGTATAAATAAATTACATTAAACAGTTATATTTTATAAATGTATAATATTAAATGTTCCATATTATATCATTTCATATAAATATATTTATGAAAAAAATATATTTTACTATATTACATATTATGTTTTATTAAATAAAAACTAATTAAATATTTGATGAATTAATTAAACCTTTTCTTTAAAATACAAGTTTAACAATTTGAAAGTAAACTTTTCTTGTTTAACGGTTGTACAAATATTTTTATTATCTAATTTTCACAAAAAATTAACAATTAGATTTTTTTGCTATTATCTATTTTACAACTTGAAAAAAAATTTTTTTTTTGAATTTTCTAAAGTCTTAATTGAATTTAAAAAATTTTATTTTGAGGATTTTATAATTTTTTATTAAAACATTCTAATTTATTCTTATAAACTTTTAATATAGAAATATTTTTTGGTGTTAATAAAATATTCATAAATTTATATTTTTAAGGTAGGATTGTATACCCTTCATAATCAAATAACAGCAATAATACTGCTTTTTTAAACACTATTAATTATACAACTCTGGAAATTAAATTACCATTAACAATTAAACTTTGAACATAAGTTATAGAATCTAAAAAATGGGTAATAACACTGCTTTTTTAAACACTATTAATTATACAACTCTGTAAATTGAATAACCACTAACAATAAAACCTTGAACTTTAGTTATACAATCTAAAAAATGGGTAGCTATAGCAACTTTGTAAATAATTATAATAATAAACAATCTTAATGTTATAAAAAGAACAACAAACAATGTAAATAAAAAATATTAAAAATCTAAAAATTTTAACTAAACAACCTCCACAATCAGTAAATAAAAAACTTTCACAATCAGTAAACAAAAAACCTTCACAATCAGTAAACAAAAAACCTCCGCAATGAGTAAATAAAAAACCTTCACAATCAATAATTACGTACCAAAGTAAAATAAATATTTTACTAATCATTCAAAATTAATATAACAAAAATAAAATAAAAAATAAAACATGTTTTATAGGGAATATAGATTTTTAGGATTTCGAACAACATAATATATATTGAATATAATTATTAATGTGTACCTCAAAAAGTATAGACGGAGGATGAGAGAAACCTGATTGAAACAATACTTCAAGCTCTTTTAATCTATCCTCAGTCAATTTAAAGACTTGCTTAACATTTTGTACCTAGGAAAACAAATTTTAAATTAAACCCTATAACTTGTAATTAAATAAAAAAGGAGACAAAACTAAATTATAATATATAAAAACTATATAATAATACTATTTCAATTAATAAACTTAGCAACATATACTCTTTTTTTTTTTTTTGTATGTGATTGGATAGACTGTTAAACTGTGGTTGGATGGAAGTTTTTTGCACCATAAAGAACCAGCAAGAAACAAAGCACTTTGTAAAAATCAGTAAAAATTAAATACATTTAAGTGTTGTTTAGGGATAACTGTTAATATCTCTACTTTTTAATCAATCACAAATCATAATGGCATGACATTATGATTTTCACAAATCATAATGGCATGACATTATGATTTGTGATTGATTAAAAAGTAGAGATATGACAAATCATAATGGCATGCTTATGAAAAGATATACAGATAACTATATGAAAAAGGTGATTTTTAAAATTAATGGCAAAGAAATGAAGATGATTGATCAGCACTAAACTAAAGAGAAAGTAAGAATGTAAAATAATGATTGCACTTAAAAAAGCTAAGCGATGATTGTGAGAAAGATTATGATAAAAAAAAAAACAATGATAGTGAGAAAGATTGTGTGAAATAAAAAAAATCATTAGCTGACAAAATATTTATTACTATATAGAATTCTTACACATATTATGGAGTGAATAAGTCAAAAGAAGTAATTTTTAAAAGCTGTTTTCTGAGGTAATACTTCTAAAAGTTATTACATATATATATATATATATATATATATATATATATATATATATATATATATATATATATATATATATATATATATATATATATATATATATATATATATATATATATATATATATATATATATATATATATATATATATATATATATATATATATATATATATATATATATATATAATAGAAGTATAGGTTTGCAAACTATTGAAGAAATATATATTTGCTTTTTTATTAAAAAGTATAATTCATTTTAATAAAATTTTCTAGTTGATTAAAATAATTGTTTAACAGATGACAAAAATAAGGAGAAATTAAGAAGAGCAGTCAAAATTTACATAAGACCACTTTCAATAATTTCAATACTTCTACAATGAGACTTGAGAAATCCTCTAGGAACTTAATGCTTTTTTTTTAAAGGATCAAGAAAGAATTCCCTTCTTAAATTGGCTGCTTTTCTAAATAATTTGGTTTAAATAGGTTGTAAATCCCTAAATTTTGCCATGACTTCTTCTCTTCTCATCACATGAGAAGCTTTAAAGCTTCATTTTATTTTCCTCTTTGACAATAAACAGTATGATGGCTTAATACAATATTTGTCTAAAAACACAATTGCATTAAAATTGGATATTGTTGAACAGTCGTGGCAGACCATCGTTGAAAGTTATTCTATATTGGACCAATATGGAGCATAAATTTTATATTAGACTTTCTCTACAAACTCAAAAAAATTTTCTAACAATTTTCAACAGTACAGTACCAATATTATTGGTAAGGATATTCCAAGTGTAAATGCTAAGTTTAAGAAACTTTTTAAGTTTTTAGAGAAAATGTAAAGTTTAAATAAAAATATTATATCAATAGGCACATGTCCCTTGCATATGGCCGGCATCAAACAAAATGTTAAAACTAATCCAATGAGTAGCATTTAGTATGCATAAATGTTGGTCATTGACAGATGCTACTATGGGTGAGCTTTTATTGTGGCTGTTTCTAAAGATTTTTTTGTATGTAGTTTTTTTGGAAAAAAAAGCAGGGATTTGTTTTTTGGGAAATGTTAAAAAATTCATCATTCAAGCTACTAAATTTAATGTTAAGGGCAATATAATACAATACAAAATGTATATTGTTTTTCATTGTACATGCTTTTAATGTGCTGTGGTTACCTTTAGTGATTAATTTAAGTTTATTTTAAGTTCAAAAGCCAAATGAAGCGATGAAAAAATGTTTTTTATAAAATTTAATTTTTAAAAGATACCAAAAAAATTTTTATTAAAAAAATTATAGTTTTTTATCCATAAAATTGAAAATAATAAATATTGGACAATTGAGCTTAACTTAGGCTTAAGTTAATCACGAAAGATAACCACATGAAAAACACTGACATGCACAAAAAAAACACTGACATTTGATATTTTATCTAAAGGAGGTTTTAAGGCACTCTAATATATACACACAAACACATATATATATATATATATATATATATATATATATATATATATATATATATATATATATATATATATATATATATATATATATAACAATATTTACATATATAAATATATATATGTAAATATTCTTTTATTTAAAGAATGCATGTCCAAACCAAAACCCTTAATTGATGTATGTACACTCACTGCACCTATTCCTAAATCAGTGGATGTATGTACACTCACAGCGCCTACCCATAAATCAGTGGATGTATGTACACTTACTGCGCTTATCCCTATATCAGTCGATGTTTGTAAATAATAAACATCAATGTTTGTAAATAATAAACATCATTTATATATATATTGCTAGGATCACCTAGTGATATATACAAATGAGATACCACAATGCTAAACGCATAATTCTTAGTTGCAATTCTTTAAAAATTTGTACAAATAAAACTTTTAAAATTAATTATTTATATTTCAAAACTTTCAAAATTAGTCATATTCGCAGCCGTGACTTAAAATAAACCAATCAAACTTTACTACCGTGACTTTAAAATAAAAAATTAAAGCAACAGTACCGTTGCGCTAGGCACAACGATATATATATATATATATATATATATATATATATATATATATATATATATATATATATATATATATATATACATATATATATATATATATATATATATATATATATATATATATATATATATATATATATATATATATATATATATATATATATATATATATATATATATATATATATATATATATAAAGAGTGGATGACTTTAAATTATTGACTAATTTTTCCTTGTTTTTCTTGTTGGTAATAAATTATGATTAAACTATTCAGGGGGTAGAAATAAAACTTTAGTTTTAATTATTTAAACTTATAAACCAAATTAACAAAATAGAAAGAATTATATGTTCCTTTTGCTATAACGTGTCTAAAAGTGGATCTTAAATTACAAGGCTTGTTGAAAAATGTTGAAAGTGTACTTATAAAGTAAAACACCTAGATTCAAAAAATGCAGATAAAAAAGATAAATAAATTATGATTCATTAGATCAAGTCTGGGTCTAGGAGGCTAAGATTCAGAAAGCTCTAACTAATACAGTAATACTAAAAAATATTACTGCATAAATGATTTTTAAAATAAAAATATTCACATTATTTACAGTAGTACTTTGTTTTACAACTGCCAATGCATTTTAATATCCAATATAGTTTAAACACATTTTGAAATTACTAAATTACAGCTTCTTTTTATTTATTTTTTGTTTAAATATTTATATATATATTTTTTTTTAATTATGTACAACACTACTTAACACATTTTGACAGCTAAATTGGTAATAACATTTAATATTAATGAAACATTATTAATTCAAAATTTTTAAATTTTCCTTGAAACAAAGTATAGTATAGCGCTATTTTTTTAGGGCCTGCTAGCAATATATACTTTTTTGACAAATATAACAATGTAAGACTAAATTACTACACAATATACAAATGCTCAAAGACAAAAACGATCTTGATTGCTTATTTCTTTAAGCATTTGAAGTCTGATATTAAACTGGCATGATACTATATACTAACCTATATACATTATCAAAATTCAAACGGTAATTTTCGGATAGGACACAAACAATTCCTGTAGGGTAAGTTGGGGCACAGTAGATTGGATTTCTTTATTTTTTAAATTGAGCTAAAGTTGAAATATGTATTTTTTTTTCAAGGCAAAAGGATTGAGATATATGTCCTTCATGATAATAAATCACTCAAACCCAAATATTTATTATCTAATGGCTCACAGAATGGTTAAAATTGAGTTGTGCTATGTGCAGGGCTGTGGGGTCGGATTCGCGGAGTTGCGACAATTTTACCGGAGTCGGAGTCGCTAAAAAATATCGCAACTCCAACTCCGATAGTAAAATTTCTTGGTATTGCACATGCATGTACAAAACATTCAATTAACCTTATGTTCATACTAAACATCAAAGAATGTTTCATAAATTTGTCAAAAAAAAATTTTTAACTCACCGAGAATATTTTTTAAAGAATTCAAAAAATTTTTCAAAAATTTTGCTTTGGAGTTAGAGTCGGAGTTGGAGTCGGAGTTGTACTCAAAAAATTTCAACAACTGGTGTCAGAGTTGTTACTTTTTTTTTACGACTCCACACCCCTGGTTATGTAATTCACAATGCCCCAGTACTGGGGTACAGTGAATTAATGAACATAGCAGTGAATTAATGATAGTGAATAGGGGCATAGCCAAATAACTTCAAGGCTGAGGAAGTAAAGACACTGTACACTATACTTTTGGCATACTTTTATTAATAAGATTAGTATAAAATTGAAAAAACAGACATATTGAAAATTAATAAGAAAAAAAAAGAATTTTATTGATAACAAAACTTATAAAAATATTAAAAAATTAAAAACTTTCAAATATTACTATTTATAATTTGAAACTAATAAATTCATTTTCATGTAGTTTGTTTGTTATAAATGCATGAATATAATCTTTAAGATCATTTATGGGCCATAGTGAATCAACCAATTCACTGTAACCCACCATAACAAATTAACCCACTGTAACCCACCATAACAAATTAAGTCCAATTTTTTGGAACATGAGTGTTATTAAAAGCTAAACTACAAAAAGGAAACATAAATATCAATAATCCAAATGAAAATTTTCAATTTTTAAAATTATTTCAACCATGATCTCCATAAGGTAAAGAAAATTTACTTTAGTTAGCTAAAAACAAAAATTACCTACCAAAAACCGGTAGTCAAAAATTATG